CCTCTTCACAGTGAGTTAAGATAACATGCAGACGACACATCCTCAACAAAGGCTGGAAAAAGAACAAAAAACGTCAAACATAGGAAGAAAAAAGCACATTTTTATCAGTTAAAGTTTCACGTTTCACGTTGCTACTAGCATTTACTCCTATTTTAACATATGCAAATGAAATCTGGCCCTTAGTGGAGGGCCGAAAGGTGTTGTACCAAAATTCTCTGTGGGACAAACCTGAGCCCTCTTATTCTCTTACTAAACATTTATCTCTTTTACATCCACTCGCCAAAACTATCCCAGCGATCAGACTTTAACATGTGTGCTGAATTATTCAAAGCTCACGCTCAATTATTTATCAGTCTGGTATATTTGGATCGTTTGTTAAGAGTCTGCTGGATGGGCCATCCATGAACACTATGCAGAAGATACAAGTCCGTAGCTCTTTAGACCTACATTGTCCACGAAACTGTCCATGAAAGCAGGCAAACATATAATCTGCTGACACAGGACTTTCTAGAAAGCTCTGCTATCATTAACAAGTGATAGCTTTAGCTCCCAATAAGAGTATAGCACGCTCTGCTCAAACTATTCTGCAGATTTTCCCCACAAAGCAGTGGGAAAAAAGAGTCTGCAGATTCCATCTGCAAGCAAACAGAATGTGTAATACTGTCGGTTTTGGCAGCGAGTCAGACTGAGCTGTGACAGTGCATATCCATTAGCAATAATGCAAGTTTTCACCTCTTCGATGCAACTGTCCATGTGTAATGAATCCATTAATGGAGTCCTCATAAATAAGTAAAGCTAGTTTATTAGAAAATGTGCCTTGATGAAATTAACTGAAGGAAATAATGCTAAAGACCCCCAGTTAGAGACTCGTTGTGAGTCTTAAAGGGATAGTTCACCCAAAAATGAAAATGTGATGTTTATCTGCTTACCCCCAGGGCATCCAAGATGTAGGTGACTTTGTTTCTTCAGTAGAACACAAACGAAGATTTTTAACTCAAACCGTTGCATTCTGTCAGACTTATAATGGAGGTGAATGGGAATCACGGCTTTGAGAGTAAAAGAAAACATACACAAACAAAACCAAATTAAACCCTGCGGCTCGTGACGATACATTGATGTGTAAAAACACGAAACGATCAGTCTATGCAAGAAACTGAACAATATTTATAGTTTTTTACCTCTGATTCACCACAATGTCCGAACTGTCTGAACTGTCCTGAGCGGCGGCGTGTCCTCCTGAGCGCGTGAGGCGTCTTCTTGGCGTGAGGCGTCTTCTTCTTCTTCTTGCTTTACGGTGGATTGCAGACTTATAAGTGCATTACCACCACCTATCTCTCAAATGGACCATTGACACTCTATCTACAATCTCAATTAGGAGTGTCAATGGTCCATTTAAGTCTGCGATCCGCCGTAAAGCAAGAAGAAGAAGAAGACGCCTCACGTGCCTGCAATTGAGAACACGCTCAGGAGGATGCACCGCCGCTCAGGACAGTTCGAACAGTTTGGACATTGCGTGAATCAGAGGTAAAAAACTATATAAATACTGTTTAGTTTCTTGCACAGACCGATCGTTTTGTGTCTTTACACATCAGTGTATCGTCACGAGCCGCAGGGTTTAATTTGGTTTTGTTTGTGTATGTTTTTTTTTTACTCTCAAAGCCGTGATTCCCATTCACCTCCATTATAAGACTGACAGACTGCAACGGTTTGAGTTAAAAATCTTCGTTTGTGTTCTACTGAAGAAACAAAGTCACCTACATCTTGGATGCCCTGGGGGTAAGCAGATAAACATAAAATGTTCATTTTTGGGTGAACTATCCCTTTAAGCGGTAGCAGAAAACACTAGAGTTTCTCTGGTACTGTCCACATATTTACCGAGCAGAAATCTCTTGTTAGGTTCCAGTTCTCTCTGACCTCCCCGAGGACTGAGTATGTCCACAAAAGAGAAGGATTCCTTAGGTCAACAAGGTCTCTCTGCTCTCCACAGCCAATTACTTCCTGTAAATGTCAGTGCAAAGTAGAAGACCACTGAATACTGATAAGGCCACATGCACTGTTTTCAAATTCCCACACTGTAAATACATAAAAACACACCTGAGTCTTACGTCTACTTATTATGTTAACTTTGGCATTACAAGTCAAAATTTTGTAGAAATTTTGTTTTTAGTTCACGTCTTACAGCATATTCTATCTCCATGCATTCCTGCATATTACCCTGTGGCTATGTTCATAGTATGAATTTAATATTTCCATATAGAGTTGGCAGTATGTAGACTGTACTGGACTATTTCTCCATGTATACTCATACTCATATGACCTATGAATACACTGGCTCAATTTAGAATGGCATTTTAGCACCATACTACTCTTAATATTTCTTGTATAGAAAGCATAGTGTAGTATCAATGTTGTTACTGTTTACTAAACTGTAAAATAGAATTCCACAGAAAAACAGATAATGTCCTGGCAGAAAATCATTACTTTTTTTCCCGTTCACTTTACGGACATTTCCTTTAACCCTAAAACACAATGCAATGCAATGTGTATTTCAAAATATAGGTAAAACATAAGTAAAAATAAGAAAAGAAAAAAGAAAATTCCTTCATATTAACACAGTACATTGTGCCTTATCTTTTCTTAGAGTGCAAAGCTTACATACATATATATATATATATATATATATACAGTATATATATTGAATGAATAAAATTACTAAAACGAATAACTGAAATGAAAAAAATTTAATCAGTAAAAATAAAAACTGAAGCTAATAAAAATTACAAAAGTACAGAACAAAACTAATTCAACTTAAAAAAAATTAAACTATAAAATAACGGCTACTTAAAAAATGTAATGTATATAAATAATACTAAACAGATCCATCTAATAATACTAAAAAGATCTGTCACATCCGGATCTTTTCTTCTCAGCCCTAAAAATATTGTCTTGCTAGGCAGCTCAGTAGTTTTTGAAACAGAGCTTATGTACCGTGTTGTAGGCAGTAAGTTAGTATTCCAGTCGATCCCTTTGACTGTTTTCGTGGACTCAACAGGGGTATGATTCATGTCCCTACGTTGAAAGGTTTGACAAAAGGCCTGACGATTTAATTTATCACACCAAACACAACACCCCAACCCCACGGCCCTTCTGCGGGCATTTCTACTCACTCACCGTAATTATTTCACTTATCATTTCAAAAGACTGCTTCTGGCCTCCATCGCCATTCATACCCCAACAGGGAAAGAGCCGACCACCATTAACTGCTGTGATTCAGCCTCCGATTCATTTAAAACTCCATTTAAAAAGCAGTGAGTGGAATTCTGAAGAACCGATACTGACAAGGAAAAAAGAGAAAGCTTTTCAATGCACAAAACTCTTTCATTAAAACCGTTCTGCTGCACTGTGTGCAGACCCTAACCAGAATGCACTTCTCCTGTAAAGACCACCATTTTAAAGATTATCTTTGCTTATTAAAAGCCTTTAATTGCCTCGCATTGCTCAATAAAAGTGAAATAATAAAGAAAAAAAACATGTGGGTTCAATGGCTTGTGAACTCTGTGCATGAATGAAGTAACCTTAGATTTCAATAAACAGTTTTGAGAACCCAAACATTATAAACTGAGAAATTCAGAGTTTTCAGAGTTTTCTCAGAGTTTCAGCACTTTGGACTTTTGATTTAAGCTAGAAGTCAAGAGACAAACATTATCTTTTGATCCGACCAAAAGCTCACTAGTCACCTTCAGGGAAATACACTAGTGACATCTTGTGGCTATACTGAGTCATGCCTAGACCAATACCAGACCCTAAAACCCAGATCAAGAGCAAACCGGGAGCCTAAAGCTCTGACCTAACTCTTTCAAAGTCTAAAGACAATTTAAAACCCCACAATTTAGATCCAAGAACCGGACTATCAATTTTAATGAAATTATTCATAAAATATGGAGAAAACTTTTTATTTTACATTGGTTTTAAGACTCATAAGTCAAGATCAAAATCCCTTCACCCAGACCAAGGTCACATTTATTATACATATATCACATATATTAAACGGAGTCTTCTAGAGCAAGGCATGTGATTCAGATTTCTAGAACACAAAAATAATCAGATTAATATGATGTTTGGGGTCAGTACGATTTTTTTTATTTTTTTTTTATTAATACATTTACTCAACATAGACAAACTGATTATAGTAGTGACTGTTACGTTGTTACAAAAAATCTATTTCAAATAAATGCTGTTGAAACTCTCTTCAACATTACTGATAATAATGTTTTTGAGCACCAAATCAGCATATAATTATCTTTTAAGTATCATGTGCCACTGAAAACTGGAGTAATAATGCTGAAAATTCAGCTTTGTATCACAGGAATAAACTACATTATACAATTTATTCCAATAGAAAGCAGTTGTTTTAAATTGTAAAAATATTTCACAATATGTATTTTTATCATTTTCAAATTAATGCAGCCTTGGTGAGAATAAGAGGCTTTCAAAAGCTAACAAACAAACCAAAAACCTAACGTACTCCAAACGTTTGAACGGTGTAAGGACCCAAAAGTGAAGATCTAAAGATTAATATTTACAGTATAAATATTTATCTTTCAAAGTTAATATTCTGTCATCACTTGGCTTCTTCTAGTTTATTTGACACATGTTTTTACATTCTCTCTCCATTACTAGAACCTCAAGTTCATTAAAACACTGCATCTATATAAACTGCCACTTATCTCAGTCCATCCCGGAACTCTGTTTGCATCCTTCATCTGACGACCTGTTTCCGCTGTAGTCATGCCCAGAGAACACAATAAAGCTCAGAATCTAATCTTAGCTCAAGGCTCTTCATTGCAGACAGCAACCAGACCTGCCTGTCTCTTCCATACCTCTCTTATGCATTAAATATCCATATGAACTAATACAATTTTGAAACTAATGTCTGATTACATTTTCTTCTCCTCAGAGACAATAAAAACACATTTAATTTATAAACTCATGTACTTGGGCAATATTTTATTTATTCATCAATGAATTAGCCTTCCATCAATGCTCAGTTATAAACTATACAAAACTTCAGCATTTTATTTCCTTTGGACATAATCACCATTATTCTGGTCAAAGAACAGTTTTCCACTTGGTTTGTTTTCAACTGCACACCACACACACACCACACACACACACACACACACTACTCAGCGATACCAGCTACATTAATTTAATAGATGCCGTGCATATATCAAGACAGACATCCATGCAACATGTGTGCCGATCTTTAAAAGTGAATATACAGTGCAACCAGTCAAAATGTAATAGTCAATCTTTCATTATTTCCTTCAGTCCATCAGGCTCCAGTTGGTTCAAGTGTATATTTCAAGCACACAAGGGGAACAGACTGAGCATGCCCAGATGAGAGGGGCATGTAAGCTGGGTCGGGGCCTGAGGTGACAAGGTAACTTGGAGATTCAGATTCATTTGCCAGATTTTTGAGCTTTCTGAGCAGATTTGGTCACTTTCCCGCTGCCGCCGATCTTCTTGTCCACGCTTTTGATGACACCGACTGCAACAGTCTGTCTCATATCTCTGACAGCAAAACGTCCTGGGAAAACACAGGAACACACACATTTCTTTTAACATGAAAATTGCTTCATAAAAACCTAGTGTGTTTGTGTGACCTGACTAAAGACTTAAACTCAACCACAGTCATCTGTCAGAACTGTGCCTAACAAAAACAAGATTTTCTTTGTGAACACTGGTTTTAATGGAGATTTTAGGGGGAAAAATAATGAGAACAAGATGCAATAAAAATTATATGTCGCAGTGAAACAGCGGGTCAAAAGACATGAGAGAATGCATAATGAAACAGGCCTAATCATCAGTTTTATTGGAGTTGCAGCATCTGAGGAAATGTAATCCAGAGAGAGAAACGTGAAAATCATGAACTCATGTTTTCAAAGGGATGATGTGGAGTCTCACATCACTGATGAGTCAGGATTGACTGCAGTGAATCTCATTAAGCATGAGACTGAGTGACCAGCAGTGAGTTGTGATAAAAATATCAGGGAACTAATTAGCAGAGCCTTGCACAAGGTTTTATTATATCTTATATTGATGTGTGGGTTTGACATACAAATTGTTGAGTGATTTTTTTTTCGAAGTTAAAATTATTTCTACTATCTTTTTTAATGTTTTTTATGTGGCTGTAAGATGCCTTCAAGTTAATTTCTATGAATATTTTCCACCCTATCTATGTTACCATTAATAAGCGGCCAAAATATTTAAAATATAAAATAAATATTCATATTGTTAGAAATGCTGAAAAAAATAATAAAATAAATAAATAAGCAAGTCAAAACTGAACAAAAAAGGAAAACGATGAAAAACAAAACATAAAACAAAGCAAAACCAAACTAAATAAAACAAAACAAAACATAAAAGCAAAGCAAATCAAAACATAAAATAAAGCAAACCCAAACAATAAGAAAAACTAAATTTAAAGCAAAACAAGACAAAACATAAAAGAAAGCAGAATAAAAAACTAAAGTAAATCAAAAAAAGAATCAAAACAAACCATAAAAAGAAAAGAAAACAAAGCCAAGCGAAACTAAACTTTAAAACAAAAAAACGGCAAATCGATTCATAAGCCATTTCATGAAAGGTTAGGAAGCGAACACATACCCAGTGGAGGGTACTGAGAGAAGCTCTCCACACACATTGGTTTTCCTGGGATCATGTCCACGATGGCGGCATCTCCAGACTTCAGGCTTTTGGGGTTGTCTTCCAGCTTCTTGCCTGAACGGCGATCAATCTTCTCCTTAAGCTCAGCAAACTTACAGGCAATGTGAGCTGTGTGGCAGTCTATGACAGGAGAGTAACCTGCGCTGATCTGTCCTGGGTGATTCAAAATGATGACCTGATAAAAAGAGAGAAAGAACAGAAATCCAGATAGAGATAAAGAAAGATACCAAGACAAACAAACAATTTGACAAAGACTGTTATCCCACCTGTGCTGTAAACCCTGATGCTTCCTGAGGCGGGTCTGACTTACTGTCCCCACAAACGTTACCTCTTCTTATGTCTTTTACAGACACATTCTTCACATTAAAGCCCACGTTATCTCCCGGCAGAGCTTCACTCAGAGACTCGTGATGCATCTCCACCGACTTCACCTCTGTAGTGATATTGACTGGGGCAAAGGTCACCACCATACTGGGCCGCAGGATGCCCGTCTCCACTCTGCCCACCGGCACGGTCCCTATACCTGAGGAGCAAGACATGGCATCTCCGAATAACCATGTTCTGTACACATAGTGATGTAGCAAAGCTTTCTGAACTCAAAATATAACGACAAGCTGATCTTAGAATGACATCATCCTATAAAATGTGTGGGTTAATCTCACCTCCAATCTTGTAGACGTCTTGTAGGGGCAGACGTAAGGGTTTGTCAGTGGGGCGTGCTGGAGGCATGATGGTATCGAGAGCTTCCAGTAGAGTCACGCCACTGGCATGCTGCTCCTTTCTGTCCAGCTTCCAGGCTTTAAACCACGGCATCTGCACAGCACAAATGAGATGATTTTATTAATCAAATCACCAGCATTCTGCCAACAGTTTAATTGGAAACTGCCAAATGGTATGAGGTCATTGCTGAAAACGAACACACACATGCCAAGGAGACTCACATTAGAAGACGGTTCCAGCATGTTGTCGCCGTGCCAACCTGAAATTGGGACGAAGGGCACCGAGGCGGGGCTATAACCAATCTTTTTGATGTAAGCGCTCACTTCTTTAACAATCTCATCATAGCGTTTCTCACTGTAGGACGGCTCCGTGGAGTCCATCTTGTTGACGGCTACAATCAGCTGCTTGACGCCCAGCGTGTAGGCCAGCAGGGCGTGTTCCCTTGTTTGCCCATTTTTAGAGATGCCCGCCTCAAATTCACCCACTCCAGCTGCAACAATTAGAACAGCACAATCCGCCTGGAAGAGAGAGCCACATGGGTCACTCAATCTACAGGCTGGTAGGGAGCTTCTAACCAAGCATCGATATGCCGCTCATTCTTGTAAAATACCTGAGACGTCCCAGTGATCATGTTCTTGATGAAGTCTCTGTGTCCTGGAGCATCTATAATAGTTATGTAGTACTTGGTGGTCTCAAACTTCCAGAGTGAGATGTCTATGGTAATTCCTCTCTCCCTCTCGGCCTTCAGCTTGTCCAGAACCCAGGCGTACTTAAAGGAACCTTTTCCCATCTGCCAAAACAAAAGTATGTGAGCATACAGGGGGTAAACACCTTCACTGAAGAAAAAAATTGTGTTGTGTGGACACACAAAAGCAATCATATTCAAAGATTATGACAGTGCATATGTTATTTGAGCAAAAACCAACACCTATATTGTAATAACTCAAACATTGATATTTTGCTTGGAATGTATAGTGGTGTTCCAGAGGTAGAATTCTAAATACCAGTATAAAGCTACTTTTTACCCAGGGTAATGAATCTCTGCTTTTGTAGGGTTAAAGGTGCTGTATGTAGGATTGACACCGAGTGATTGAACTAGGTATTGCAGTTCAAATTCAAAATATTGGAGAGGGTTTTTTCACCCGGCCCCTCCTCCTCAGACGTGACGCACACGCAGGTTGCCAGATTGATGACACCAAAATGAACGAGCGCACTTGACCATGAATGAAATTAAATACGCTGTGTTTTTTGGCAACTGGCAACCCGGGGTCCTGAAATACAATTGGGTAAACCGGCAGTGGTCGGGTTTCACAAACCAAAACAGAGGCCGACATTCCAGCCCGGAATGCACAATTTCAAAGGAGAATAACTGACTGTAGCCTTGTTTTTCAGATAAACAAGTATGTTAACTTAGCATGTTTCTTAAATATCTGCAGACATATTATGGTATTTTTATGCTTTAGTAGAGTCAAAAACTTACATACAGCACCTTTAACTCTGCATTGAAGTGCCAAATGTGTAAACTGTAAATGCAGTGTTAAAAAAACTTGTCAACCCTGACTTCATAACGGAATGTTTTAGGCAGTGTTCGAATTGTGTCAAAGCTCTTGGGGGGTCCCCCTAACCATTTTGCTGAGTGTGTTGCACTTCAGGACTGTCATGGACAGCTGACTCTGTGTGGGGGTCAGTTCACAGCAGTGACAGAAATTAATCTTTTCCAGCAAGTTTAAAATGATTTTTACCCTTTATGGGCATTTTTACCTTTGTAAAGCCATTTTTTCTAGAAGTGTGTCTTATATTTAATCAATAAAGTCAATTATAATAATAAGACATTTGGGGCAGTTACCAAACAAATAAAATCATTATCAACAAAATTCATGCAATGCAGAGGAAACACAGAAGCTGCATCTGAAGAGGCATTAGATGCATACACTGTTTAATGCAAGGCATGAATGCTCTAACCTGCAGTTACAAACGCATAAATAATGTTTTGATATTATAATCTTAAAACGTTGAATACTGCTATTTGAAATTATTAAAAAATATATATATAAAAAGGTACTTTAAATGTGAAATTAAAACCGCCAGTAGGTGGCAGCAAGTCACTGTTAAGCGAGTCATTACGATTAAACCGACTCATTTAAATGGTTGATTCATTCAGGAACGAAACACTGTCATGTTTTTCAGAGATGCAAAACAGTGCTGTGGCTTTGTTTGGAACCATTTTTGTTGGCGAAATAGAGCAAAAAATAGGCAATGTGGTGTCTAAAATGTAATTCTCTTAATATTAACTTCTTGATTATTGAACTGTTATATAAAATCAATATCACATTTGTGATTTTTGCGAAAAATGGCACTCTTTGTGTGATATTGATCAACAATATGAAATTATATAAATATATACATTTTCTGCCCCCATATCTTGAATTTTGGGAGCATTCTAAATGTCTTTTATTATACTGAATCATGCAGTAAAAGAACACACTCTTAATGAGCATTCAGTCTAGCTAGTGTTTAAGCACTCATAACTCCTCTCATATTCAATAAAGCTGTCCATACACGGTATGATAAATTAATCTCTAACTTACATCGTACCTACATCAGCACTTTGTTGCTTATGATGAGGGAATTCGCGAGTTTCTGTCTGAACAAATCTCTGGGGTTTCAGCGATGACTGATCTGAACGCCTCTGATTGGCTACTGCATTCCTAAACTCAACAGAATCGTGTGTGATTGGTTATAATGAGCAACGCTGTAAAAAAACGTGTAAAAATAAAATATGATGTAACATAACAAGGTCTAAATTTAATACAGCAATCGAAATTTCATTTTAAGTATTAAAGTTTTATTGAAAAACCCCCTCCTCCCGAAAAATGCTTATGGGAGGTCCGGGACCCCCCCAGCCCCCCCTCAATTCGAACACTGGTTTTAGGTTCAAATCGTGCAAGGGTTCATACATCATGCCTTAACATTTTGCCCTTGAGCTTGGCTCCAGAGAACTATCCCTTTAATAAATCAAGTAAAAATTTTCACCATGGAAGGTTGTAGGTTTCAATCATGTAAGGGATACACTATGCCTCAACATTGAGTTAAACCACTTGCCCCTGCTGACTGTCATTGTAATACAAGTTTCACAAATGGAAAGTTGTAGGTTCATAGCCCGCAAGGGTCCATACACTATGCCTCAACATTGTTCCATTGAGTTTAATCACTTGCCCCAGCTGACTGTCTTTCTAATAAGCCTCTTAACAGTTTGCACAGATGGAAGGTTATGGGCTCTTATCCCACAGGGGTCCACACACTATGCCTCAACATTGTTCCATTGAGTTATATCACTTACCCCAGCTGACTGAGCTTATAATAAGCCTTATGACAAATTTCACAACAGGAATGTTATAGGTTCAAGTCCTAGAAGTGTCCGTATCTTGTGCCCTTGAGTAAGGCAGTTGCTCTAGACAACTCTCACTCTTATAAACTGCTTAACAGTTTTCACAATGATCCAACACAGTCCTGCTCAGATAAAGAAGCTTGTAGGTCAGGGATGGGCAACTGCGGTCCTGGAGTGCCACTGTCCTGAAGAGTTTAGTTTCACCCCTAATCAAACACACCTGCCTGTCATTTTCAAGGAATCCTGAAGACAAAAGTAAAAATTTTCAGGTTTGTTCGATTAGGATTGGAACTAAACTCTGCAGGACAATGGCTGTCAAGGACTGGAGTTGCCCATCCCTGTTGTTGGTAAAAAACACCTGCTAAGACCGATAATATTCAGTGTCAAGCTTATCAATGTACCTAATATTTAGGAAACCTATAACACAAATCCAACAGGCTTCGTTGTGCACACAGAGTTTTACTACCCTTCATTTTGCTACTTGAAGAACAAGTTACCTTCAAAGACAGAGGTGAGGTGTCAGACCCACTGAGATTGCACCCATTTACTCAGGTCTCATTCTCGCAGTCTAATGTGTGTCAGGAAGACAGAAGTGCAGGGCCTGACTAATGGTTCTGCCTGCTCCAGAAATCCATTTATCTTTTCCTTTAATTTCCAACAGCATCTTCCAAAGAGTACATGTCTCAATTTAATTAACACAGCAATTCTCCCTCTGCTCTCCAGTGAACGAAAGGAGAAGGCATAGTGTGATTCATGATGAGATTCTTACATAGTTACCCTACACAGTAAGTGGGTTGGAGTTACCCATCATTCAGCACAGACCACAATTCTCACAAAGCATCAGGGATTTGACTATGCCGATACGGTCACTTAAATTTAAATGGAAGGTTCAACTCAACTCCTTTTTCATTTGATCAATGTTTATTACTTTACCAACTTAAAATTATTCAGATTCTGGCTTCTAACTTAGCCATTTCACTCCACTTGAACACCAAATTGTTTGAGATCCTGTTTGCCTACCTCAGCAGCCTCTTTTTCAAACTTCTCGATGGTTCTTTTATCAATTCCTCCACATTTATAGATGAGATGCCCAGTGGTGGTGGATTTCCCAGAATCAACATGGCCGATGACCACAATGTTGATGTGGATCTTCTCTTTCCCCATGATGGTACAGGACAGGAGGAAAGGATGGAGCTTTCTTCTGTCTACAGTCGTCGCAGACAAAGAACATTTGCACACATTTCATCTTAAGATCACAATTACATTTAGTCATTTAGCAGATGCTTTTATCCAAAGCGACTTACAAATGAGGACAATGGAAGCAATCAAAATCAACAAAAGAGCAATGATATGCAAGTGCTATAACAAGTCTCAGTTAGCTTAATGCAGTACGCGTAGCAAGGTTTTTATATATATATATATATAAACAAAAAGAAAACAGAATAGAAAAAGAACAGAGCAAGCTAGTGTTAGAGGCCTTTTTTGCTTTTGTTAATTGTATAAAAAAAGAAAAAGAAAACAAATAGATAGATAGAATACAAAAAGATTAGAAAAGCTAGTGTTTGTTTTAAAGAAAAACAAGCAGTAAATGAATAGAGTGCAAGTTTAAAAGGGACAAGTTTTTTTTTTAAGAATAGAATTAGAATAGAGAGTGCTAGATTTAAAGGGTCAAATAAAGATGGAAGAGATGTGTTTTTAGCCGATTCTTGAAGATGGACTGAGTTGGCAGGTCATTCCAACAGAAGGGAACATTTAATGTAAAAGTCTGTGAAAGTGATTTTGTGCCTCTTTGGGATGGCACAATAAAGCTATGTTCACTTGCAGAATGCAAGCTTCTAGAGGGCACATAAGTCTGAAGTAATGAATTTAGGTAAAGGGGTGCAGACTGCAGAGCCAGTTGTGGTTTTGTAGGCAAAAATTAATGCCTTGAATTTTATGATTTTTTTTATTCCGTAAACGGTCTTCAGAGCACAGCAGAACTAAGCTATTCAAGGTCATTTCTGAACATGACATGAGAGAAAAATATTTCAGATAAAATACACTACATAAATTAAATAATACAATTATAAAACATTATATACTATATAAAATATATGAAATATTACTTGAACAGTTGTCATGAATAATACATTAATAAGAAAACTTCCTCAATCATTTTACCAGTTTACCAAAAGGCTTGCAAAATTGCAATCTCAAATTATTATTATTATTATTCAGACCAAACAATCCTAAAAAATAATGTACATACATTTTCAAAACCCACTTCCTTACAAGTTTACATACCCCTTGCAGAATCTGTAAGATAACTTATGAAAAAGTCTTCTTTTTTTGGCTTTATAGTTAGTACTACCATGAAGACATTGCATAATATAATTTGACTATATTAAACAAAACAAAATTATAAATTACACAAATCAAAAAATGGACATACCCTTGGCTTTCAAGATGTATGTTGCCTCTCTGAGCATGTTATTGTTTTAACTATAGTCAAATGAGTCCCTCAATTGATTGTTAAAGCTGGGTGTTAAAATCATACCTCCACCGTGGGAAGAACTCAAATGTGCAGAATATGCAAAGAACTTACAGTACCTGGAGGCTTTTTGTCAAAAACAGTGGGTAGCTTCACTGCTCGGGACAAACCAGAGACTCATGCACAACTATCACAAAAGCCTACAAACAGTTTTTGATGCAGGAGGAAACAACACATGAATTTAAGATGCAAGGGTATGTAAACTTTTGAACAGGATGTGTAAATTCTGCTATTAATTTGTCAGCATATTACAACAAGTAAATATTTTGTTGAATAGCTTCATCAAGGCAGTACTTAATAAAAACACAGAATAGAAAAAAGCTGAGTATAGTTAAAGTCTATCAGCAGGAGGATGATTGTGGCCTCTTACCTGCAGCTGGCAGGCAGACCCTGTTCTCCCCTCAGCAAACAGACACTCTGTGCTCCGGCAAAGGTGGCGGCACAGTCCAAATCTGTGTGCGTAATGAACTCCCCCCACTTTGAGTGCCGCATTGCTGTATCAAAGTGGGGGGAGGCTGGTGGTGAGGGACTGCAGTGAGACAGCTGCAACAGCAGCAGAAATGAGCTGAGAGGAAAAGTAAGAGAGATGAAGGACGAACACACTGGAATAGAGCAGCGTTCAGTGACTCAGCATCTTATCCTCAATTAACTCCTGCTTGATAAGAATCGGATTGGCTCCCTGTGTTGGTCTGAAATATGACACTTACAAATTCCTAATATACATAGTATTATTATTGAGAATGTTTATTACCAGGTTATTCTAGATGTAACTATTTCTGTCTTTAGTTAGTATTTTAGTACATCAGAAATTGTATGTTTATCATAGGGGTCTGATCAGTTTCCTGGTCTGTTCTTTGAAAATTCATGAATAAATTATATTTTGACATACATACATAATTTTTTTAGTTCAAAATAATTTATTTGAAATGGAAATCTTCTGTAACATTACGAATGTCTGTCACTTTATGTCAAAGTAAATATACAACTGAACCCAATCTTTTGAACAGCAGTGCAAGTATCACCTGATGACAGAGTAAAAAAGGTGCCGGTGTTCTTCGAAGCATTGCTAGATATTTGGTTTCTAAAAAAAACTAAAAAGTCTAAGATTCTCCTGTGGCGTCATAAGAAGTTAAACCATTTTAAATTGCTTCTTGGATCATTTATGTTTACCAGAATAGATCAATGGGTGGCTAACATATTAAATATTGTTGTTCATTGTCAGATTAGGAGTTAAGAAGTCAAATCAGACCAACATGGTTCACTACCATTTTTTAATCAGGGACATACTCCTGATGTGTTTAATACACATTCGGTCAAATATTTCAATCAAACATGACTCAGAAACAGTGCAAATATCAATCACTATTTCCTAAGCATTTGATCAATGACCGTCTAATTGGCTAATAGAATCAAGTTATTTCATACAGTTAATAACACGTCTAGCTCAGCTTATTTGCAGTGTAAGTTCTAATAAATCACACAACAAACTAGTTGATTCTCTGGTCCGTCTCAAGAAAGTCTGCTCTGACGAAAATAAAATAAAGCTACCACTTAAAATTCCCACAAATCTTTTTAAAAAGTTGCTGTTTTGTTTCCAAACTCAGCAGAGGAAAGCTTATTTGTTTATCATACTTTCCCCATCAGTCTAGTCAGATCCCACACAACCACCAAAGACTTTCCTTCGTCTAGATTTCCTCCATTTGTCAGTGAACAGCTCAGAACGCTTAAAGCACAGGAACGCCTCTCGCAGTAAACACACGAACATCACACATCCCCTGCTCGCCATCTCATTTCACGTTCACATTGGCTCTAGCGCGACCAATATTAGCTACACCTTTCTCCGTCAGTTCTTTTCAAATGTCTGATGTCCCAAGTCATCCTGCTGCAAGTTGCGGCTACGTCCTGCGGCGCTTGGCTCCTCCAGGGCTGGAGGGGTTGCTGGAGTTCATCACCTTCTCCACGGCTCGACTCCTCTTCCTCTTTTCCCCGGCTGATTCTTTCAACCCGCTGCCCGCCTCACCTGAGCCCCCCCTCTCTGCCCGCTCTCTCTCTTTCTCGCGCCCGCTGCCCGACCTCTCCGACATCTTCATGGAGGAATTGCTGCCTGACGAAGGGAAAAGGGAGGGAGGAAATGGGGAAAAAAGGGTGGGATATGGGAACACAAAGAACAAACCATATTAAACCCACTATAAGAGGGAAAAAAAAAAAACTTATTCCACCTAAATTTATTATTTCTATCATAATTAAAAAGTGGTGTGTAATTTCTACACTACATGAAGCCCGACATTAGCATAACCAATTGTCAAAGTTAGTGGCGGAAGGACCTGTTTGTCCACACAATGGTAGATAGAGAAGAAAATTGAGCAGAAATTTTATTTGTAATTCAGTTTGGTACACTTCACCTTTAAATGCATGTATATAAAATGTCCTCTTAATTAGTGCTGAGAGAAAGGTCAACCACATTTACATAATCAGCTTTACATAACGTGTTTTGACATGACAGCATAATTTGCCTTATTAATAATTCAAGTTTTTTTTCTAAAGCATGTGAAACTCAAGCGCCAATAATGTGCTGACTTCCAAAAAATGCTTTTACCATAAAAAATACCCAAATCCCCCAAATAAGCTATTTCTGTTGTTTCTGCTCTATTTATGACAAAGTGTTTTTTATGACTGCTTGTTTTTAAACTTTTTTAATTGACGGAAACTGGGAATATAATGTATGATTAATATAATATACTCCCAAAATATAAATATGTGACCCTGGACCACAATACCAGTTATAATTACCACGGGGATATTTGTAGCAATAGCCAACAATATATTGTATGGGTCAAAATGATCAATTTTTCTTTTATGCCAAAAATCATTAGGATATTAAGTAAAGATCATGTTCCATGAAGATATTTTTTTAATTTCCTACCGTAAATATATCAAAACTTATTTTTTTATTAGTAATATGCATTGCTAAGAACTTAATTGGGACAACTTTAAAGGCGATTTTCTCAATATTTAGATTTTTTTGCACCCTCAGATTCCAGATTTTCAAATAGTTGTATCTCAGCCAAATATTGTCCTATCCTAACAAACCATACATCAATGGAAAGCTTATTTATTCAGATTTCAGACGATATATAAATCTTAATTTCAAAAATATGTACCCTTATGACAAAACTGCAAAACTGCATGTTCTTCAGTAAAAACACTAGGTATTGAAGAAAAATAAAAAAGAAATACCGTTTCAGATTACATCTTATGTTTTATTTGAATATTTTAATTTAGATACTTTAAGAATTATTTATTAATTTAAATTTATGGAACCATGCAGACCCTTCAATTTATTTGCTGAGGCCCCCCTGTTGGCCCGGCCTCCTGGATGATCAAGAAATAATCTCTGGTATAGGGATGTTAATTTTAACCGGTTAACCGTTAACCGACCGTAAGAATTTTTGACCAATTAATACAATCAGTTAAATAGTTTAAAAAGTAATTTATTAAATTTTTTTTCAGTAATTTATCAAAATATTTTAAAAGGTTTGCTGCATGGTTAAAATACGCTACGCGTATAAAAAAAATAGTTTTTAGGGGGGGAAAAACGCAAGTCACGTATAAGTCGCATTTTATTATTTCATTCAGAAATAGGCCTAATGCTGACGCAAAATGTTTACATACATTATAATAAACACTGTAAACATAGCTAGGCAATTTTAGTTCCCCTCACTCCACAACAAATCCTGTCAATTAACAGTATTTAGAAGAGAACAAGAATTAAAAATATAAGAAGCTATAGCTAAACGACAAGCCAAAACGAATTAATTTAGGCTAAAACTAAACTGGAACCAACGTTGCGTCTCTCATTCAACACAAAATCAAATGTTTCCGAATTCGCAATGTATTTGAATGCCAAAATATGATTTATTATGTACTTCACTCGCGTTCCAATATCCACGTAAAACAAAATGTTTTACATAACATCACGGCGGTACGGTCATAATGCTTAACGGCACAGATTTGACTACATATTTAAACTGAGCAGTGTGTTTTTTCCATATGTTTGACTGACTGTATTTTATTTTGATAAGGAGCAGGCTGCATTGTTTTTAGAAGTGAAAGACAGAATAATTTACAGTGAATAACCGTAAATTGACATTCCCATAATTTCCTGCGTTACATTTCAAATTTGATATTTTTTTTGTTGAAATAACTATGTTTCTTCTTAGTTTTTTCTTATCAGTTTTGTATATATTGTGTGTTACACCTAATGTTGTTAAATTAATGTTTATTGCATTATTTTAGTTGCATGTGTGTTACCGTGATGGTGTTTAGTGTTTGTGTGAATGACACGGTGCACCTTCTATATATGTTATTATTTAAAAGCTGCTTGTGATGGGCTTTGGTTTGTCATGTGACTTTCTCATCACCACCTGCATTTGGTGGTTATCAGTGTAATAAAAAGGTACAAAACAGATTTCAGTACTTCAATAGGTTGGTATATTAACATTATATCAGTTAATGAAATTACGGTATTTAACTGTAAATTTAAGTTAAAACCATAAAACCTAAAACATTGCTACCGTATTTTTTACGGTAAAATTCCGACAACCACAGCTGCCGGTTTTTTACATTTCCATTGTGTATGAAATGTGCTATATAAATAAACTTGCCTTGCCTAAGGCAAATAGCTAAGTCATACACATGACCACTACTAAAATTTTACAGTTTAAAGGGATAGTTCACCCAAAAATGAAAATTGTGTCATCATTTACTCGCATGTCATTCCAAACATGTATGAGTTTCTTTCTTATGTTGAAGATATTTTGAAGAATGCTAGTAATCAAACAGTTTATGGTCCCCATTGACTTCCATAGTATTTCTTTCCCAACTATGGAAGTCAGTCGGGACCAATAACTGTTTGGTTCTGCAAAATTCTTCAAAACATCTTTTGTGTTCAACCTAAGAAAGAAACTCATAAGAAACTTTCATGTTTGAAATGACACGAGGGTGAGTAAATGAAGACAACATTTTCATTTTTGGGTGAATTATTCCTTTAATCCTTCGTTCGCAAGTAGTTCACCAATAATCCAAAATCTATCCATTAAGTTACTTCAAGTAGCAGGTACTATACTGGCGCTCCGTTCCAAACCCTACATTTTAACTGAATATTACGACAGCATTGTGGAAAAGGAATCCCCTAATGCACTGCAATGTGCAGTGCAAAATCCTAGATAGGCAAAGCAAGATAAATGGTAATGGTTTTAATTTCCATTCAGTATTTGAACCTATATTTGTGTACCCTGTATATTGTTGTGTTCACACCATGTTGTAGTTACCGCAGCTCTATTCAGAGCTGTTCACGTCCTTGGCAACACCATTAATGGCAAAATTAATCTGTGCAATTTGCATCATCAATAGACAAATCCACAGTATCTTATTACTAGTTGCGTGCTTGTGTATGATGTTGAGCAGGTTGTACATATTTGAGCTCTCAGAAAATTCCACTTTTACAAGTCATTGAGGACATGAATGATTTTTTTCAAGTAATACACTCATAATTATGATAATTCTGAAATAACGTGAACACACCTTGTGCTTATAAGCTTATTTTATTGTTAGCAACGTGCTAACACAACATTCTACTCAAAATACATTTGTGTTATTTGTATGCCGCTATTTGTATGCCTACTTAAAGTTGTGTGTTTTGACGTGACAGCACAAATTGCCTTCTTAAGAAAGAATTCAAGTATTTGCTTTCTAAAGAATCTGAAATGAAAACTGCTACAATGTGCTGACTTTTAATCTATTCAAGAAAAACTTTTGACATGAAAAATATCTAATAATTATGATAATTCTGACTGAACACACCTTATGCTTATTGGCTTATAGTGTTATCATGCAAACACAACACTGGCTGACTCTACTGAAGTTCTGAGTGTGCTTTGTTTGTGCTATTTGCACACCACTGCCTATGTAGAGGGTTCAAAATCAGATTTATAAAGTTGATATGCCATGTAGGCAATAAGTATGGGTCAAAACACCAGGTTTTGGAACAGAACTTGTATCTCTGATGCTTTTCAAGCCTAGAATTATGCGTTTAAGATTTTATTAACCAAATTTTACTGTCTGCTTTAACAACTAACAATTTTCATATTGAAGGCTGAACCAGTGTATATTATTTCTTCAACCTTGTGACTCTGAAAAACCAGTGAACTTGCAAGTGATCTCATTATCATATAAAGCTGCTGCTGCTGTTCAACAAACCTGTCTAAGCAAACCCTCAACATGCCGTGCTTCATACACAGAGAATAATAACAAGCTAAGGTGCACAGAACACATAAAAAAAGACAAAAGAGAAAGAAGGACAGCGAAAGAAAGACGAAGAGAAAGACGCACATGGTCAGAGGTCTCTGAAGGCTGTCTACAGAGGCCTCTGGTAATGAGCTGGTCTGTACTGAGCTCAAGCTGGAGTTTTGGAACAGAGCGAAACGTTTTCTTCTGTCCATACCTCGCAAAATCCTGGCCAGCCATACTGGGACCCAGACCTTTGGAACTTAAATGATTTTAGCAAATGGTTGCAATATAACAAAGAGTGAAAAATTTAAGGGGGTCTGAATACTTTCCGTACCCACTGTATATGTGTGTGTGTGTGTGTGTGTGTGTATTCTATATAGTTTTCTTTTTTTATTATTATTTTTGGGTTATTTTAATACATTAAGTTAAACTAAACGAAAATGAGAAATGTTGTCTTGCAAACTAAACAATAATTACGTATTTCATTTCAGTTACAAATTGTTTATAATAGTTTACATTTATTTTATTTCAAGTAACAAAAATGTATTACGGACAAAAAGTCTAAGACCACTAGTGAAAATGCTTTTATTGAGCATTTTCTCATTCAATTTTTTATTTATTTATATTATTTGCTTAACAATGAGAAGTTGAACTGAAAAAGTATTTGTGTTTACTCAAACATAAATACAGTCTTAGTATTTCAACATTTGACTATCACAAATGTGCTTATTTGATTAGTGACCGAGTGCAGAATCTTAAATACATTTATTAATTATACATCACAACGTTTCATTGTTTTAAAACCCCGAAAACGTTATTTCCAGGGTTGAGAAATTATGCAATATTTCAATTTTAAATACCAAATTTTCAATCTAGAGTTTTGAATCCCACATATAATACATTAGATTACTGTGATGTGCAATGCATGCAGTGAATGCATATCATAAAATAAACCTTATCATCCCAAGCAGGCAGGAGTGGAGTGGTCTTACCAGCGCCTGCATGTCGTACATGGTGCTCAGGTGGTCCCAGATGACTTTAGAGGACACCTGCCTGCCGATGTTCTGACTGAACTTATCGCGAATACAGATCATGTGGAAATGGCGATTCACTCCTGAAGACATGAGACAGTTTCACAGAGACACTCTCCGTACAGCACAGAAAACACCTTTGTGTTGCTGTAAATTAGCCTGGCCATGATGCTATCATGCTAGTTAGCAGCCGCGCTAATGTTTACTAACGTCAACACACATTCACTGCTATACTCCCTCCATAAACACAATATTAGTGCTTCAAAATACAATTACTCAACGATAGTCTACAATACATCTCAAAACTGTAACAAAGCCGTGCATGCATATTCAATTTTCTTTTAGCAATTAGCGACTGGACTCGATAAAGCTCAATAAAGTATCACTGAAAACCCTTAAATTAACTCTAAAGCGCTTCATCGGTATTTTAAAATCTGATTGGTATGATTAAATAACTGCATTATTAATTGATTTTAGATACTTAAAAGGTAAGAAGGAGCATATGGTCTGATGTTAGAAGCTATTGTTTCGCGTGTGGAGTTCAGGGCCTGTTATTTCACATAAATCAAGAATGAATTCAACTTACCTACGGGTTTATGACCCAGCATTGCGTGAAAAAGACAGACTTCTACTTCTTGACTCCATACAATCGACTCCTCGGCGGTACAGATGCCGGGTTCTGCTTGTTTCTCGTCGGATGGCACAGTCTCTGCTTCCCCCATGTTTCTGCAGTGACACATTTACAGATGCTCCCCTCACTGCTTCATCTCCACAGGACACCACAACCATCACGGACACATTACAGACCCAGAGATCATTTTAGATCGATTGTGTGGTTTCATCAAGTGTTTACCTATTTGGAGAAAAAAAGTTAGTAATTGTTAATTATTGAAAAAAATTGTTAATAATAGTCTCTTCACATTCAAATAATGCAATGTATAGGCCTATTATTGTTTAGATTATACTATAGTTATCATAATTCCAAGGTTTGCATTATGTATTTACTTATTTGTTGTTAGAATGGCACTCTTTTACTTGAAGGGTTTGTTAATAATACATGAAATATATTATACTATACAAGTAATATACAAGTATTAAAGCTCAGAAATGTTCATAACGTAAATTTGAGTTTACTTGAGTTTACTTGATTATTTATTCATACACCATTTTTAAATGTTAAACCATTAAAACTTCTTTTTACATTTGTAAATGTCAAATGTGACACAACGGGCTTTTGGGGAACATTTTTTCTCAATTATCATTGCAATTAATTGCATTTCAGCCATAGAAGTCTGATGTATAAATATGATACTCAACATAACATATTTGCATGTGTTTTTCGTTGAGTATCATATTTCACACACGCTGTCATTTCATTGTCATCCCAATCATACCTGCCATACTGATGTGCATATGTTCTTATGAGTACTTTAGCTTCTGCTTTACTTAATGGGACTTGTAGATTTACTTGCTTTATTCTTAAGAGTTTGTTTCGCCAAAATATCCACCTTCTTATTTCCCTCTACATCAACATGAGCAGAAACCCAAATTAAATGTGTAGATATACCTACCCAGAACTTTTATAGGCCTATATACTTCATACGGAATATCTCATTGATAAAATCCATCCTAAACGATGACCTGCCAGATCTTATACTTTTAAGTGACGAGTGGCTGATTCAGTGACAGTGTTATTTTCTTCTCCTCTATCCACTGCAGGGCCAATGATATTGCCAGTAATTCTGTTGCATACTGACAAATGATTGGTTACTCTAAATCACTCATTGGGATATATACTGCTGCACCATCATATCCTGTTTCAGGATTTCTGGATTTAAAAAAAAAACTGATTCTGTATTACTGTACTGTAACTGATGCAATCTTTTGCAATTGCATTACCTATCCATCCAAAACTTGTAACACACGCCCTCCTTCTTTTTTCTTCTTTTGTGATTTATGGCAGTTGGCATTTCCGCCACCTACTGGGATGGAGTGAGAAGTTCAGATGGAGGAATGGGAGAGAAAAATAAAAACTAAAAAAACTAAATCCATCTAATCAGATCTGTATCTCGCGGAAATATGTAAGTAGAGCATCATATACCCTTAGCTGTTTCTGTGCAGTCTGAAATATCCTTTAATGTTAATAAATTAATTTCCATATTTCTTAATTTATCAACAAGCTGTTTCCTTTCTCTTGTATGCGACTCACAATGTAGAATTACATGTTCTGCTGTTTCTGGTATTTCACAATAAATGCAGCAATCTGACTCACTTTTCCCTGTGGTGTGCAGGGAAGAATTTAGATTGGTGTGTATCGTCCCTTCTATTTCCATATTTTCTGTTTTCAATGCCCACTTTAGGCTGGATAGGAAGTGTCTCCCTTATGTCTCTTTATTCCAGCTGTCATTTTGCTTCAGTCTTGCTTAATTCATGGCATATCACAATGCATTAATTGAAATAAAAACAAGCTTTAGGAAGATTCACATGCTACTCAACTGCTTAGACGTCACTTGCAGCGAAGACAGCTCTGATTGGTTTTCCTGCAACTGTGCGTCATAACATATCCAAAAAGTGCTAAGTAATGTGTAATTACTATGCTTGAAACACACCATTACATACACTTTCATGATAAACTAAATAATTCAGTTAAAGGTTTAAACACAAAGCACAAACAAAAAAATGCACAAAATTAGATGTAAATATATTATGAAATATATTTGCAAAAAATATTTAAAATGGCTGTCAATCAGTCGTCAAGCGAGTGTCTGCCCACTTCTAATGGTCAGTGAATAACACCACTCCGTCCCTTTATTTGCACATGAAAATGATTTAAAGGGGTCATATGATTCTGCTAAAAAGAACATTATTTGGTGTAATGAAATATTTATGTGGTTTAAGGTTCAAAAAACACATTTTCCACATACTGTACATTATTGTTTCTCCTCTGTGCCCCGCCTTTCTGAAACGCGTCGATTTTTACAAAGCTCATCGGTCTGAAAAAGCAAAGTGTGCTGTGATTGGCCAGCTATTCAGTGCGTTATGATTGGCCGAATACCTCAAGCGTGTGACGGAAATGTTACGCCCCTCACCATACTGTGATGATGCCCTGTCAGGCCGGAGCGATGATTCAAAAAACATGAAAACCCATTACAAACGAGGCATTTGTTGCATCCAGTGGGGACATAATTACTGATTATAATGACTTATACTGTCTTTTTACGCACTGCGTTGCATTGCATCGTGCCGCGTAAACATAAAACCATGTCTGCATTTGTGATCAGAGAAATGACAAACAACAAGCCCTACTCTACACGGACCAAAAAACTCGCTTTAAATATATAAAATATAAAAACTCTTTAAATATAAAAAAACGTACTTACAGTCTTTGAGTCAGAACAGCCAGCATTGTAGTCTACTCTCACAGAAATAGTCCTCGTCCTCCATAAAATGTGCTGCACACATCTGAATATTTGGGTTGAAGTGTTCTGGAACAGTGTTGTAAATACAACTTAACCACTGAT